GCAAGTAGCTAGTGAGTATACCATTAAGATCTTTCCATTCTTTGAAAAGGAGCTGTTGGGTTGTTTTGAGGTTAGGTTGGATGAAGTTTGTAATATTGGTACAAAATATGTTTTTGAAGCAATTGAAGAAGGCCATGAAAGGGTTTACAAAATCCATTTTGACTCCATAACTTTCAATATTTCTTGTTTGTTTAAGTTATTTGAAATTAAGGGATTGCTATGTCGTCATGCCCTGAAAGTGTTAGATTCCAAAAATATCACAAGTATACCAAGTCAACACATATTGAAGAGATGGACTAAAGGGGCCAAGAAAGGAATTGTGGTGAATAGTGACTTATGCGAATATTATAATAAGAAGGCGATATCTGCCCAATCATTGCGCCTGAGTGAGCTAATGCATGACGCAAATAATGTTGTTAGTATAACATCATTATCTAATTCAGGAACAAGACTTGTCAAACAAAAGTTAGCAGAGGTTATGATGTTACTTGAAAGTGATATAGAAATTACAAGATCAAAGGAAAATTTGAATAACATTGGTGACCAAACTCTTCATGATGTGCCCATTGCTAAGCCACCAGTTTTGAATCCCCCCACCATAAGGGCTAAAGGCATAACAAATGCTAGGATAAAAAAATTAATTGGAGAAGAAAAGAAAAAAAAAATGTAAGAGTTGGAAATTCCTCTCGAACTTCAGGGCCTACCACCACGGCTGCTAGTAAGAATTATTTTCTTTAAGTTGTTTTTAACTAGATTGATATTAATTAGGTTTTAGCTATTTTTTCTGGTAGTTTTAATTTCATGTGCTAATAATTTTTTTGTAGGCCAACATGAGCAAGAAACCAACAGTGTTCCACCTCATTCAACCCATTATCATCCATCATTTCATCACTTTGGTGTACTTATTCTTACACTTCATTATTTTGAAGGTTAATTTTAATGTTTATCTCCTAATGTTATATGTATTTTTAGGATATTCCAAGCCAAATTTTTGGACATTCGAATTTTCAATTTACAACCATGCTTCAAGGAAGTGATCAAATGCCTTACTTGATTTAGGTATATGAATTTAATATATACTCATGGGATAAAGAAATCAGATATTTCTAACTTCAGATTATTTTATGATACATTAGGATTCATCTACAACTGTGAATGCAAATTTCACATTTGGACAATCAACTAATTTAAATCAGGTTTGACTCATGATATAAAATTTACTTTTAATTATGTTAATCTCCATATTGATTCATGGATTAAATTGTGACGCATAATGTGTATTTCAATGGTTTGAACCAATTGCGTTGGTGGTAAGACTGATAAGGGCTGGTTGATGTTTTTTTATGGGTTTGAAATCTATCTCAAGATTATGACAATAGGTACATAGAGATTGTCCTTACATTTTTTTTATTTCGAATATGAACGTCTGAAGGATATGCTATGCTTTGTATTAGTTTTCTAATTTTTGGTTGGACATCATATTTGAATAGGTGTAATGTGCTCATTTTGATGTATAAAGGCCAACATATTTTGCAAAGGAGAACAATATAATCTTTAGTTTGGCAAAATTACATTTTTGTAGATGTGATGTAGCGTTCTCCTTTTCTTTTTGCGATGTTATTTGGCCAAGGTTACGCTTTTGTACAAGGGAATAATTCCACACTCCCTTTCCTTTTTGTTGTATTATTTGGCCAAAAGACTACTTCTGTACATGAGATTAAGTTTGTGCTCTTCCTTGATATGTTATTTGAAGAAGGATCAGTCAATTATAAATCCATTCATGCCAGTCACCCATGTTACACTTGATCAAAGAAAGAAAAAAAAAACTTCTTTGAGTTATTGATATTGGACAGAAAGAAAAAAAAAACTTGAGTTATTAATATCATAAACAAAATTGTACAACAAACCAAATTTTATTAGCATTACTTCATTATAAAATAAAAAAACAAATGTCATTATTTGTAGCAATAAAATACATCACTTCATTAAAAAATTATAAAACAATTTTATGGATAGAAGAAAGGAAGGAGAAGGGATTGACTAGAGGCAAGAACGACTTTGAACAGATGGAAAGTTTTTGCATATGAGAAGTAAGAGGGCTGGTAAAAAAATAAAGAATGTAAAACATTAATTGAGTTTGGGAAAAAAAAAAATTAATTGGGTAGTAAAAGGCCGGGCACGGATGTAAAGATTGGATGAGAGAGAAACTTTACTTTTTGGTTAATTTTTTTGATTAAAATATATTTTTAAAAGTTTGTAAAAAAGATTGGCAGGTGGCAGTATCCTATTGACATATCCGTGCCAAGAAAGTTTTTCTCCTAGCGACGGGTTTAAAGTTGTTTAAATGCCCTACAAACTCTAGGAATAAACGAGGAATTAAAATAAGAAAAATAACAAAATTTCCAAAAATTGTTAAAACACAAAATCTGAATTTTGGGCGGTTAAAAGATCTCGGATGCTTGAAAATTCCATACGTCATGGCAAAGTGATGAGTTTTACTTGTGACGCCATTCTCTTCGAATCAACAAGTCATGGGCCCAAATATGAGCTCGAGGCCCAAACTTACAGTTTTTCTGGTTTGCCCTTATGCACGCATCTCTCCAACTCCTCTTCATTTGCTTTTGTCATATGTTCTACATCATTTAGTGAGATCTTTTTGTTGTTGTTCATATTGTTTGACATAATGGAGAATTTGATGGCAGATGTAGTTACGCTATTGAACCATGTTAAATCCCCCAAAAAAAGGTGATAGCACCATGATCAAACTCAACCATTTGTGACGTGGAAACTAAGCATGACTCTATTGTAAAGATTTACATGAGCCGATTGAATGTGTTGCATCTAAGTCACAAAATATGTCAAATATTTCATTAAACTATCATACTAGGGCCAAAGGGGGCACATGACCTAGGGTGGCCATTGATACTTTATTTTTTTCCTTCCTAAGAGCATTTTTTTTTTCTTTCCTAAGAGCATTCACATTGGTAGTGTATAAAGGTGGATGTATGCTAAATTTACACCTATTGCCACTAGAAGTTGCTGTAGTGGGAGGATGTAAACGCTTGTATATAAATACATTGGCCATCGAATGTGTATAAAAAGATGCTAATTTACATCAATTTTTACACCCATTTTGCGGATCACACAAGCAAGAAATGAGGAGAGAGGAGAGAGTAGAGCTGCTGAAAAGGTTCAGCCACTCTCCCTGTACACACAAGTAGAAGGATACTCTCCAGACAAAGCAACAAGCAGTCCCCATGGAAGACAAAGTGCAAGATGGCTGAATGCATCCTCCAACTGTCACCAAATGAGTGGTCAAGATTTTTTTTTAATTAAAAAAAATCAAGGCTTAAATGTCAAAATAGTCCCTGTATTTTAACCATTTGGCCAATTTAGTCCCTGTGTGTTTAATTTGGCCAATTTAGTCATTGTGTTTTACTCCGTTAGCTAATGTTGTCCATTCCGTTAAATTATTGTTAAAAAAGTTCATTAAAGTTTTAGAAATTATTTAAAAAAACTGTAATTGTTCTAAATAAATATAGAAATTACAAGGTCACTTTAATGATAAACAAAATAAAGGCCTGCAAGCCTCAAATTCTCCGATTGATCAACACCGATTCAAACCCTCTAATAAAAAACTTATCCGATTTGCATCAACCCCGCCAGTCTCTTCTACATGCCCATAATACAATCCATGGGGTGGATGAAAACATTAGCAAGAGTAAAAGGGTCCTGACAGCCATGAAAAGAAGGATGAACATAAACAAATGAATTGTTGGCTCTTGCAATCATGCTTATCCTTTATCAAGCTTACCCGCTAGCCTACTGTTGCACTGCCTTGTGCTTATTTTTGTTTCTCTTAAAAAAAGATTAACAAAATAAGAAAATTTTAAATTTTTATAAAAAAAAATGGAAACCCAACCTCTAAACCCTCTTCTTCTCTCCAGCAGCCGACACCAAACCACCATGAGCCATCCCAACCAGCCACTTCCCCCCTGGAATGTGGTGCGTATTTTATTTTTAAATTGAAATTTCATGTTTTATTAAATAATTATATATTTTTAAATAGTTTAAATAACATTTATGAATTTTTTAAACAACAGTTTAATGAAATGGAAAATATTGACTAACGGAGTAAAACACAAGGACTAAATCGACCAGATTGAAAATACGGGGACTAAATTGGCCAAATGGGTACAACACAGAGATCATTTTAACATTTAAGCCAAAAATCAATGCCCATATTTAATTGCATTGAAAAAAAAAAAATCAATGGCTCTTTTCATCCAATGGCCCTTATTTATTCTTTCAAATTGAATGATGAAGATTTATTTTTATCCAAAGAAATCATATCTTCTCTGAAATGAAATTTTTTAGGTTCATTTGTTTGAAAAATAAAATAAACCTCACACACCAAAAATTAATTTTAAAATTGAAATTTTAATTGCATTATTAAAATTTAAGAATGTGCAGTTGATTGGAGAATGTTACGATGCTGTCTCTCTGAGTTTTTTGTTTTCTATTGGTCTCTTTTTGAAGTAGAGAACAATACAAAAGTACCTAACCTCTACGATATGCGCATGTAATCTCAATCCAAATTTATAAGATTGAAAACAGAGGATATATGAATTACACGAAATCTGTGACAATTAGACTTGCTTTGAAATCTGACACAAGGTTTAGGAGGTGATATCCCAGGCCTTTTCAAAATAATCAATCTGCACAGCACCTAATAAGTTTATGATTAATCATTTTGATGAGGGGTTTTGCTCAACTTCCTTCAGCTGACTTGAATGGAGGATAGAGTGCTGACCCTCAGGTAAGCAGTAAGCTCCTGTTTCTCTTTGGGTTTTCTTTTCTTCTTCTCTAAATTGGCAGTGGACTGTTAGGTGACCTTCTATAGAATGACAGGTGGAACTTACATGGTGGTTAACTTTCTGTTTATGTATTTGATTTTGTTTTGGTTGATTTATTGCTCGAATTTTTATGGGAAGATCAATTCAAATTCTAATACTAAAATGAAGCCAAAACACGATGGAAATGAGAAAAGCATGTTCCACATGATTTCCACTTAGACTCAGCGGGTAGTCAATTATATAGTTTATATATACAGCTAACAGACATAACCCTTTTCTCGGTTCTGGTTTTCTAGCCTTTGCACTAAGCTAGGATTGAAGTCGAAAAGCAGAGCAATGAGTTACAAGCCTGTTCCTGGTGAGCCTCCACCCCCACCCCCGCCAGGCAAGTGATCAAGTCACCAACCACATTTTCTTTAACCACCCTTCTGGTTCATGTTATATGTACTAATTGCTTGTTTTCACAAATACAGGTTCCTGGCCTCCGCCGCTGCCGCCATCAGACTACCCTCCTCCACCAGGCCCCCCACCCCCGCCGCCGCCACCATCAGACTACCCTCCACCACCAGGCCCCCCACCGCCGCCACCTGGCTATCAGGGTTACTTTTATCCTCCGCCACCGCCAAACCCAACTCCACCCCCGCCCCCTTCACACCAAGAGGATGGTGACCCTGACTGCTGTTCAGTCCTCAAAGGCTGGTATGTGCATGTTCTCCATATCCTTCTGTTACCACCAGCTCTTAAATTGTTTGATTTGATCATCATATTTGGCTTGAATTGAATAAATGTGTGTTTTACTCTTTGTTCTTTTTCTATTTTCTCTATAAAAAAATTAGGACAATAATTAAAATTACTTTTTGGCTTCCTTGGTTCTTCTCCCACCACTTCACTGATCCCAACCTCTCTTGTGTTGTATTTGCAGTTTGGCTGCAATTTGTTGCTGCTGGATATTGGACGCATGCTGTATTTAGGCCATTAGATGCATCTGATGTTTATTTATTTTGCTTTTGATAGATTGATTTGAGATGTCCTGCATTAGTGTTGCAGTATTACTGGAAAATTGAACCTGTAGATGCAAATTATGAAGACAAGTGCATGCTTACATGATGAAGGGGAAGGCTTTCACGTTTGCAATTGTAATCCTATATTTTAAGTTCATTTCAAAGTTGTACTTCAAAGTTGTACTTATAATATTGAAACATTAATTAACAATTTAGTATATATGGGGCAATAACCTCATTGTTTTACCAGAAAAGAACCATAGCCTCAATTGAGCTTACCTTACCTATCCAAAATCACTTCCAAACGAGAACCTTCCATTGGGAGTTCGACAAGTAAAGTTAGTGTAGGAATGCAAACTCAATTTGAACTTATAATATTTAAAACATTAATTTACACTAAAGAATATAATATGTGTACATATCTGAAACAAAGGTTACAATTTACAAACACATAAAACACACGGAAGCAAAGGATAGAATACAATGAATTACAGATTCAACTAAACCATAATCCTACAAACAAATCAACAAAACCAAAACTCTGAAAATCAAAACTCAAAGGAAGATGATGATCCTGAGGATCCAAAAGGAAAATTCATCTTCAAGCTCTAGCCAACAACCGGTTGCGCTGAATTCCCAGCTGTTCTGAAATCTGAGACACTGTCTAAGAGGTGATGGGATGCCTTTTCGAAATTAATAAATCCCATAAACCAGAATTCATGGCCATCTATGGTGACAATCTGAATGTACTTCTCTGGTGGACTCTCTTTCATGACCACAGGGTTCACTGTGCCTATATTTGACAAAGGTATCATCACCTGTTCAAGAACACAGATTTCCAGTCAATACAAATTATATCCATCAATTTTCTCAAAAGGGTTCATTTAATTCAATGTTATTTACCTTGTAGTAGCTCCAAGCTGCTTGTCCAGATGGGGTAGTGAAAGTTAAAGGACGATCGCTGCAGAAAGCAAGCCTGGCAGTTGAGAGATACAGAGTGCCAGCGACAGGACCTGTGGAACTGGAAAGGTAGCAGGCGAAGGTCTTCTTGAGCTTCTCGTTTGGATCAGTCGCGAAAATCTGCTTAAACAGAGACTCAAATCCACCTTCAGTTATGGCTCTTGCCGTCAAGTTGACCTTCCCCCAGGCAGCTTCAGAAAAAGAGGGCCCTGTTTTGAGGTTGTGCCAGATGTTTCTGGCTATGGTCTCGGCCTTGGCGCTCCAGGAATTGAACACGTGGATCGCAGGCTCAAAAGGGTTGTTTGTGGGCTTGTTTATGGGAGCGCACTGGACATAGGGTTGCTGCTGGTGGTGAATTTGCTGGTGATCAGATGCTTTCCATTGGGCGGCTCTCTGGTTGTCTGGGTGGACATTTGGGGCTGCTGGGGCTCCCATGATGTGGGTCCCATATTTCTTGGTGTCTTCCTCCTCTGCTGGAGATGATGAAGATGAATGTTGTGGCGGTGGTTGCTGAGGCGTCTGTGAGTCCTGATGATCAGTAACAGTGGCAAGGGATGGATAATTGGATTCTGGGTCTTTGGCTGCTTGAGATGATTGGTTGTGGGGGTGTGTTTCTTCTGGTATGCCTGCCATGGTTAGTGACTTTGATGAGCCGATAAATGATGGGTTTTCTTCTTTCTTTTGCTTTGTTTTCTTGTGTTTATAATCTGTTGAGAGATAAAATGAGTTTTTATAGAGTGGAAGGTTCAGGAAGTTCAAGAATATCTGAAAAAGTGACACACGGCTCTGTTATGTGAATGCCTTTGCCTTTGCCTCTGCAAGCGAAGCAAAGTGTTGTGTTTATTCAGGAAGCTAGCGGCAGAATTACAAGCTCTCGCTTGGCTTGATTGACCAGTTGTTGCGGTCAGGACAAAAATCAAGAAGCTTCGTAAGGATAATTAGTCTAACCTTGTCACGGACTGACCGCCATAAAGGCCTTTGTAATAATCTATATTATTTTGGAGGATCTTGCATTTATCCCTAACTTTTCTCTTGTGAATTTCATTTTTTTGGGCCAAAGTAATACGCTTTAAGTAACCTCATAAAGTCGATGAGCATGTCATCATCTATGCCAAGTTGTTTATATCGATCCTTCCAAAGAAAAGTGATGCATGGTAATTGACACCGACATAGCTACGTTCCCGCCAAGTGTCCTCCTCCCCAATGCAGCACTGACACTTCAAAGAAACTTTGGAGAGAAGAAAGGTTTAATATTTCATTCGAGCAGAGCACTCAACAACGCATAATCACAGAAGTCAGCAAAATCATCGGATAAGGCAAAAGAACAATGAGTTACCAACATATCCATGTTCAACATGAGCACCATCCCCCACCAGGCAAGCCATTTATGATACAATTGTAAATTTCCCCCAATTTTGGATTTGTTTAATTATCCAATAATAATCATTTGTGTTGGGTGTGTGACTATGAATATTCAGGGTACCCACAAGAGTATCCTCAGCCGCCCGACTTTCCACCTCCACCGCCACGGCCAGGGTTCCCAAATCCATCTCCTCCGCCACAAGAATCTGGATATCAGGGTTACTTCTATGAAGGGTACCAACCCCCATCAGCTGCCCCACCTCCCCTCCGCCCATACCACCACTACCACCAAGATGACTATGCCTGCGATTCTCTCTTTAGAAGCTGGTATGTATGTCTCTGCTTTCTATTTATTATATATCCCTATTAATATCCATTGTTTATGTTTATGTTTATGTTCACGGGGTCCAATCCAATCCAAGTTTCTATTTTTCATCCAATTGATTGTATATTTCCTGTTTCGAATCTCCTCAATATCATCAAAGTTAAGTCAATAGTTGCATGTAACATCAAACATTGGATATTGCAAGTGAATATATGCCGTTTGTTTTGTTTATCATCTGATATCTCCCCTCGTTGGTTACAATTCGCAGTTTGGCTGCGCTTTGCTGCTGCTGCTTGTTGGAGCGCTGCTGCTTCTAGATATGCATAATAATTGCCTGCTCTGCTGCTGCCATTGTATTCTTGGTTTCTGTTTTGCTCTTGATTTCTTACAAACCTCCAAGACTAAAATTCAATCAATCTGTATGTCGTTAAACGCAGCTTGTGTTATTCTCAATAAATTAAACTGAGAAGCAAGTAGATACAATTTTATGGCTTTTATGTCAAGTGTGGTGCAACTTTGATCGAATATATAGGATCCCAAAACCTTTTTTACATTTGAGGCTTGCTTTATACATGAGTTGAGTAGGTTTGGTGATGAACGGTTGCCTTTGTCAAAAGCCCATTCTGATTCTTGGCATGCACGCTGGTTTGAAAATTGAACTTGAGCTGGTTTAAGGTATGGGAGAAAAGCTTTTGATTAGACATCAACAACACTCCACGTGAAACCCATTTTGTTGCCCATTTCCTTCCTGAATTAGTAATTACTAATTACAAGGGAGAGAGATGGTCATCCTGCCGACCTAGCTGGTTTTATCTTTCCCTGTTTCTGGCTCTTTAAGAAAGAAAATAAAGTTTGAAAATATTACAAGTATGGCAGGCTGATCATCAGTTAGGAGATTGACTATGACTAGCCCAATTCAGGCATTGACAAATGACGAACTTTGTCGATAACATTTCTTACCAACTTATTGATATGATAACATTTCTTACCAACTTATTGATATTAGAAATAGTAATTGCTGCTCTGTAGTCAGGGATAAGCCGAACTCCGAGCGGAGATTAATCTCACATTTTGGATGTGGTGGTATTAAAAAATGAAATAGTAATTGGTGGTTGCAAGCATAACGCATCGTACACTAGATAAATTCTTTATATATCAGTCAGGTAATTCCTAAGCAATCCACATTCTGATTCTTGGCTTGCCGCGGGGGGACAATCCACATAAGCAAGAAACAGTCGTGGGTTGAGCTGTTAAAATTCCTTACTTAAGATGGTTTCCTTTTCTTTATTTAATTTCAAATCCAATTTATCAGAAAAAGGAAAAAATACTAAGCACTAAAAAATCACCTGAGTCTGAGTCTCCAAAACGGACTCGGCACAAATATATTGTCTCGAAAAAATCAGAAGCGATAAACACTATGTTTGGAGCCCAAGTAACCGCTCTCCGATAGATGCGCCTCAGTCGGTTAATATCGTCCTTCCTCTGCTCACTCCATCACAATTTCTCACACCTCACAACCATGGCTCCTCCCAGTCTTCTTGGTCCTCCAGAGCTCAGCAAACCCACCCACAACCCACCGCCCCAATCTCAACCAGCACCCGACCCCAAACCCGAACCCGCCACCGGCGAACCCTTCGTTGACCTCATGGTCTCAAATTTCAACGACATAGCGATGGCCAACAAACTCCCAATGGGCTTGACCGAGAATAATTCCGCCACCTATCTCTCCACCGGCAACCCCTGCCTCGATTTTTTCTTCCACGTGGTGCCGGACACCCCCGCCGACTACGTCAACAACCAGCTCCCGCTGGCCTGGACCCACAGCTCGCCGACCACGCTCAAGCTCATCTGCAACCTCCGCGGCGTACGCGGCACCGGAAAGTCTGACAAGGAACACTTCCACACGGCGGCGGTTTGGCTCCACAACCACCACCCCAAAACCCTCGCCTGCAATCTCAGGTCCTTTGCGGACTTCGGTTATTTCAAGGACCTGCTCGAGATTCTCTACCGCCTTCTAGAAGGCGAGGACGTGCGGAGGAAACAGAGGGATGCGTGGAAGAAAAGAAGCGCGAAGAAACAGAGTTTGGGCTGCGACTTGAGCCCCGAAGCCGTTCCGTTCAAGAAAATCAAGACCGGGGGGGAGAAAAAAGCCGCCAAAAATGACATGTCGAAGGAGGAAAATGAAGCGAAGGCGAAGGAGTGGGTAAAATCGGAAAAGGAAAGGGCAAGCGTGTTGAGGAAGGAGAAGAAGATCGCCATGGCCAAGAAGGCGGTTGCCAGGTATGGATCCGACCCGGATTTCCGATTCTTGCACGAGAGGGTTTCGGATCTTTTCGCCGAGTTGTTGAAGGCCGATATGGAGAATTTGAAGTCAAATCAGAGCAACAAGATCAGCCTCGCGGCCAAGTGGTGCCCTTCGATCGACTCTTCGTTCGATCGAGCCACTCTGATCTGCGAGAGCATTGCGAGAAAGGTGTTCCCGCGTGAATCGTACAAGGAATACGA